TCACAGATATGAGAACAGCAGTTTTTAATATATTTCATACTGTATGAAGAGAAAGTTTAATTGAAATCTCAAGGATACAAATATTCCGTTATGATATTAAAATTTGTTATAGCGTTTATAGGTTTTATTTTTTCATTTGGTTTGAAAATGAATAATGCACAGTCCATTTCGTTATCTTAACAAAAGTGAGAGAAGGGTACTCTGAAGCTGGAAAAAAAAAATATTCTGGATTATGTAAATGCAGAATTACATTTTGGCTTTGAAGTATTATTTGCAATGCCCTGTGATACAAAGTTGATGTTAATTCTAAGATAAAAAGATATAACTCAGAAAATGTTGCAATATCAGTGTAATATTACAGGAAGATAGCATACAAAATACAGCAAAAAAATATGTTCAAATATATATTTTCTTGTCTATATCAGTACAGTACCTAATTAACAGATGTTCTGATATTAGGACTAGAAAGATGACTGGAACTAGAACTAGAACAATAATAATGATAATAATAATAATGAAAATAATGATAATAATAATAATGATAATAATCATAATAACAATAATAATAATCATAATAACAATAATAATAATAATAATAGAAATAATGATAATATTTACTAATAAATAATAGAGATAATAGAAAACAAAAAATAGTAATGACTATAATAACAATCATGACAACAGCAACAATAATGATGGTAATAAAAAGACAAATAATAATGATGATAATGATAATAATAAGACAAATAATAATAACCATAATAACAATATTAATGATGATATTGATAATAATCATAATGATAATAATTATAATGATAATCATAATGATAGTGATAATCATAATGATAATAACAATAATGATAATAATAATGATAATCATAATCATAGTGGCAATACTAGTAATAATAATGATGATAAGGATAGTGATAATAAAGATGATAAGTATAATTACAATAATAATAATAATAATAATACCATAATAACAACATTGATAAAAATATTGCTGGTATTAAGGAAAATGATAATTATGAAATTAGCGGAAACAAAAATAATAATTATAGTGTCAATGAAAATGATAATGTTAATAGTAACAACAATAATAATAATTATAATGGAAATGATAATAATATTAATAATAATGTTATGATAATAATGATGTAATAATTATAATAATAGCAATGATGATAATAAAAATGATTATGATGATGATGATAATAACAATAATAATAATAATAATAACAATAATAATAATAATAATAATAATGATAATAATGATGATGATGATGACGAACTGAGGTATTTAAGGGCTCCGACTCTTTTCAAGGTGTTTTCATGTATCGTAATCTCTCCCTCACTTTCATTACAGATGAATCCCACAGTCTTCTTCCTACTGACTTTTAATCCTCTGTCATCCAAAGCCCTTCCCCAATACTCTAGTTTCCTTTCGGTCTCTCCTCTTTTGTTAGAGCAGATAACTATGTCGTCTGAAAGAACATCCATGTTAAGATCGAAGAGGGATGGGCTTAAGAGGTTATCAACTCTTACGGGTATCCAACCTGCGACTCCCACACTGCTTCTTACTCTCGTCTTTGCTCCCTCATACGTATCTTGGCCTTATTTCACATACTTTTCTGCTACCCCCTTTTCCCTCATGCACCTCCATGCTTCTTGCCTAGGCACTTTATCATAAGCTTTTCCTAAGTCCATGAAGACCGTACGCAAATCCCTCCTCTTCTCTCTGTGCTCTATCATTTGTCTAAGAGCAAAGATGGCGTTTGTAATCCTTCTATCAGGCAAGAAGTTAAAATGCTCGTCTCCCACGGTTGTTTCTTCTTTCAGCATACTCTCTATTATTCTTTCCCAAATTTTCATAGTGTGTGACATCATTTTGATACCCCTGTAGTTTCCACACTCCTATATATCTCCTAACTATTGCACAATCTCTCCATTCTAATGCTATCTTCTCCTGGTAGGTCTTTTGCATCAGATCCCACATGTTCTAAAGTCTTCCACCCTTCTGTCGGGATATTGTCTGGTACTGTGGCTTTGTTGTTTTTCATTTTCTTTAAAGCTTACCATATTTCTCTAGTCATTCATTCAAAACTGTTCCTTACTGATCTTTAACCTGTCTGATGTGTGTGAAATCTTTTGATGCTTTGTCCCTTATTCTGTCCTATACAAATTTCCTTCTCCCCCCCCCCCCCCCGTGTTTCTTGCTCATTCTCGACTTCGCAATTGCCACCTCCTTTTTCGCCTTCTTGCTCTCTCCCCCTCTTCTCTATCTCCCTACAAATTAGATTTCTCCCATCTCTTCTTTGCCTCTTTCTTTTCATTAGGCACCCTTTGCACCTATTTGTTTCGTTACCACTATAAGCTCCCTTACCAGATATTTACTTAACGCTTCTCCAACCTCCCTTATTACTCCCACCACAGTACCCCCGTCGCACGTTCCAGCCCGGTTTCTTTTAAACCCATTTTCAGGTTATTCCCCTTCAACCTCCACCACTTGATTTTACGCTCTGTTTGCTTATGCCTTTTCTGAATTCCACACTCCATCTCGCAATCCACCACCAGATACTTATGGGCCGCCATTGTCTCTTCATTTGACCTTACAGTTTCTAATCTCTCAGGTGTTGAAGCATTGAAACATCCTGAAACATTTATTTATAGCGAAAACTGAATTTAGTACAAACTCGCTCTAAACTGTTCCTTGCTAATCTTTAACCTGTGATGTGGGTGAAATCTTTTGATGTTTTAAGCTAGCCTTTTTGAAGAAGAGCTTTTCAGGCAATAGATGTAAACACTATGAATATATTACAATTTACAAGAGGATAAAAACAAAAATTAAACACAAACAAAAGGAGTAGAGCTATACAGGGGCGAACCTATGATGAGGATAGGTGTCATATGAGCAAACGTTTGTATTGTGAACAAACACTTGTACGGCTATTAATCAAAGTATAGGTTTAATAAGGTAGTCCATTTATAATCGGTCGAGTTGAGTCAGACAACTGAGTTATGTCGAAGGTTACCTCGTCGTAGGTGGCCAGCCAAACACCTAAAAATGAGAGAAAAGAAAACAGATCTACTCTCTCCCCTCCTTCTAGTCCTTACACGCATCAAGTCTGCCACCTCTCTCCCCTTTCCAGTCATTGTTCCGATATTTAAGGTGCTCATTTTAAGGCGGGTTAGCTTCTTTAA